ACGTAGATCCCTTACATAAAAGGAAAATTTCCTTAAAAGGCGATTTTCAAATTCAAAATTTCGAAATTTCAAAATTTCAAAAATCTTAAAAAAAATTTCCTTTTATGGTAATTTTTTTTGAAATTTCGAAATTTCGAAATTTTGAACTTTTAAAATCGCCTTATAAGGAAATTTTCCTTTTATAGGATAGATCTACGTTGCACAAAACGTCCAAAAAAGGAAATTTGGTAATACAAACTTCCTTATTTGGACATTTGTGTAACGTTACATTGCCATAAAAGGAGATTTTCCTTATAAGGAGAATCTCCTTATAAGGAGATTTTGAAAATTCAAAAATCGAAAAATCAATTTTTCGAAATTTTGGCACTTTTCGTTCAAACGGTACACCGTAGATCATATCCTTTTTGGTGATAGCCGTTCCACAAATTTTGGTTTTTTCCAAAAAATGAAAATTTCCTTTTTAGAATTTGTGTAGCATTTAATTTCCTAAAATGGAAATTGTAATCCGGTCAAATTTATAATTTGACCGATCAAACTATGCTCTTGTGCGTATGAATCTTCGGAGAAAAAATGAATTGGGTGGTCCGTTATTTTGCAAATAGCTGTAACTTCATACATTTTATTTTTGAAAAGAAATTCGTTAAAAACTAAGGTTTAGAACCGGTTTATTTTGCTAACCGGTTTTATTAACCTCCTTAAAATCGGAACTGAACCGATTATTTAATTAATAGCATAACGGTTAAAATATTTATATCTTTAGAAAGATTATATAGTATATATATATATATTACACTACAACTTGGTATATTTTATTTTGAATATTGTATCTGCGTTTATTCTGATGTCATGTTTTATGGAGACTTTATTTAATTTATCAATATAAAAACGTAAAAAGATTAGTATCTTAATATTCGCTCGGTATTGCTTTTAATTCGGTATTATATTATAGCTTTACACAACTGAACAAAGTGGCGATAATAAGATTAATGAGAATCACTATCTTTTCCAGAATTATACTGACAAGTGACAACTTCTTCAATATGTAGTCAATATTGCGTATTAATCACATCATCTTCTACCAAAAATTAACAAGTTCATGATGTTGACATGAAAAAACTGATTCACAACCGTATGTCCGTATTTTGATAAACTTTGTTTCATCAACGTTAATATAAAAGAATATTATATTTTATGGATGATATATAATTGGGGTTCCTGCAAATTTAGTCCAATGAACCAATAATTACAAATAAATATGATGATATCAAACACATTACAATCTGATGATAATTCTTACATTCATATTTTATTTTTTATTTTAATTATATTATTTTTTATGTAAGAATTTGATTTGGTTAGAATTAATCTTCTTTCAGTTAATTTTAATTTTTTTAAAATATCAAAGTTCAAACGACTAATTGAGTCACTCTTAATAAACAAAGACTCTGAATTAAGACCTTTTTCCTTGAATTCCCCTATGTCCATACTTCGATATAAGTTATTCTAGGTATAATTAATTTTTTATTACAACTATTCTAAAATTAAGTTATATTTAAAATTATAATTCAACACTTTCTTGTTTCCTGCCGGAATTATCTAAAAGGGGAGTCGTCTAAGGCGGTGATTTGCCGGCATTACGGCATTAAGAAATTACGCATGTGACAGATAAGGGGTTGACAAATATGATTTCACATAAATAGTGGAAGGAAGTGACACAGAGTGACAACTATTTTTACTATTCTACTCAGCAGCTTCCACAAGACCTACACGATTCCTGGCGAAAAAAATACTTTTTTAAAGAAGCGTGACTGAAAAATAATTATAAATGTAAATAATTATAAATGTTAATAATTAAAAGAAACGAAAACTCAAACTTATAAAATTCAGTCAATAATTAATAAGAATGAATATACAGTATGAAGTTATAAATTTGAAATCAGGTCATTATTATTATTTAATTTAACGTATTAGCCGGCTACTAACAATGATTAAGGAGACTAATCTAAAGGTTTTGACAACTGCTGGAATAGTTATAAATTATTAAGATACTTTTTTCGTATAAAATGCAAGAGAAACCGATTTTCTTGATAAAAAAGATTTTTTTTATTATATAATTAATATTGAGTATTTTATTTTTGTACATAGTTTGCGAAAGAGAACAACATTTTCTTTTTATAAGATAATGAAGTTGGATTTTTTTTTTTAAACAGATTTTGCCAATTTTTTCGTCTATTTAACGTTAAAGATAATATTTTATCTTATCAAATCTTAAAATAAATATATAAAGTCGCTAGGCCAATAAAATTATTTTTTTATAGTTACATTAAAAGTAAATGAAGGAGCGAGTAAGAATATTTTTTAAAAGCATAAAAGTTACACAACTTACACATAAAGGAAGTAAAAAAGGGGTAAATGTGCCGATATCAAGGATGGGTAAATGACAATGAAATTAATAATTGAAATCAGCTTTCCAAATTAAGACGACTCAATAAAGAATGCAATGGATTTATGTATGATGAATCAGATATGCAGTAACACATACATTAATTACATTGCAAATTGCGTAATTGATTCCTTTGTGTAAATTCTTTTATGCATGATGTAATTATACTAATGCAGTGTACATGCATTCACAAAAAAATTTCATTCACAATGCCAGCCTGAAACGATGATAAAACATAGACTACTAAAATGGAATATTCTATGGTTTGACTCATCACTCTCAGTAAAATTTTTGCCGAATGTGTCAAATATATTGTTAAAATGGTGACAAATTAATATTATTTTTCTTTATTGTAAACAATTTTAAAGATTAAAAGTAAATTATGAAAGGATGAAAGCTTTGTCATGTGTCATTAAAAATGATACATTTATTTGAGATAAAGAATTTAAAATTCTTTAAGCGTTAACTAAAATTGTATCGTATTACATGTTAACTGAAAGACGAATTGATACTTTTGAAAATATAAATATGAACTATGAAGAAGATTTTTCAAGTTTTAAAATTTTAAAAAAGAAATCAATAATTTCCGCTTATTTTATTCCTTCCCTCTCATTTCATTTTTTGGTAGAATTGTTGACCGACGAACTAAAAACAAAAATTGAAGAATTTATTTAAGGAAACAAACAAGGTGAATTAAATATGTTACAAATCGATCGAATACATCCCAGCTGCAATGATGATATGAAACATTGGATATTTTTGCACTGAAATCCTAATTCTTCTTAATGGTGTATATTACTCCAATATTACAAATATAACGCTCACGTGTACGAAAAATGCTTATTATTAATAATCGATTTTATTAGTATTTTTCTCAAAATATGTTAATAAAATAACTAGCAATCAAATTAGCAATCAGTGAAATAAAGCAAAATGATTGATATTGCGATAAGACACAATATTCTAAATATCGCCACGGTATCACAGATGCGCACACATTTTAGTTAAAAAAATCAAATACTTTTTGTGGCTTCTTCATTTTAAATCGAAATGAACACGTATTTTCGTCTATGCCTTTGTTGTACTCGAATCGGAGTTTACCGAACAATCAAATTATTTCCTATTTAAATTTAAGTATAATCGATCTTCAGAAAATATCCATTGTTCATTGTAAAAGAAAAAGCTTCGTGATTATCATTTCTTTTTGTTCATGGGATTTGTGTGGCTTTAATCTGTGTTACAATCAAGTTTAGTAGAATTTTTTACACTATTTGACATATAGAATTATTTTGAGTTCTTAAAACTTTATAACTCTTAATTATTATTGAGCTCTCTTGAAATACTTACTTTCTTTGAATTATTAAAGCATGTTATTAACTTTATTAGTGTTAAAGCGTTAAAAAAAAAAAAAATATTTTTTCATTTCTTTTTTTTAAAATAGTTGTATATAATGATTTTTAAATTTTACTCATTTCTTTAATAAATAATAATAAAAAAAAAAAAAATTTTATTTTTTTTTTCCATTATCGGTGAAATTTTATTTTTATCTTTTCACTTTATTTAATTTTTATTTGTTTTTTTTCTAAAAAAAAAAAAAATTCCGATTGTAATCCAAAAGAAGAAATAATGAAAATACATTGTTTTAAATGTTTGGATAGGATTATTGAGCCTTATTCCTGAGCTAATTTTGTTATTTGCTGAAAAGTTTAATTCACAATGAAGTACTAATGGCATTTTTTGATCTACATGCATCTAATCCTATCCTATCCTATCCGATCCGAATAAGTACGATTGGATTTTTTTTTTAAACCAATTTCATACATATTAAAAATTGGCGCATGACATATTTTAAATAATAATCTAATTTCCTTATTTATTTGTGAAATTTAATCGTTTCTCGAATTAACTTTTGAGTAGCATACATGATCCTTCAAAATAGAGAATATATTCTCAATCATTCCATATGATTTTTCTTAATAATTATTTAACTATAAAAAGATAAATTATTTTATCTTTAACTAAATAAAGATAACAAAATAATAATTCCGAATTGCAAATGTAAACGATTTAACAATAAAAATTACCACCAAAAAATTTTATAAATAGAAGTGATTTTCTACCTTCTCACATTAACTTCTCGGAGAGTTCTTTTTTTTTTTTTATATAAATATATTTATTTATTTTCAAAATATTTTTTTTTTTTTCATAACGATAAAATTTTTTTTTTTAATGTTATTTATAGTTGGATTAGTAAACTCGATCCACTTCGTAAGTAAATTTTACCTAATTTAAAGTTCTTAATTTGATTTTAATATTATCTAAATTTTTCTTTTTAGTTTGTCACGAGAAACTTTGTGAGGATGAAGAATTATACATTATCGAATGGGTTGAAAAATATAGAAATGAACATCCATTTAATGATATTAAATGGAAACAATTAATTAAAGATTTGAAAATTAAATCCGGTAAAATGCGATCAGAAAATATGGTGAAAAATCATTATTACTTAAAAGGAAGACAAGAAAAACGACGAGGACAACTACCTTCGAAAGATGATGATGCATCATCTTCCCCTCAAGATAGTAATTCTCCAAAAAGTGTACCATCTTCCCCTCAAGTCAGCAACGTTTCAACAACCGTATCGCCTTCATCTAAAGATAATAATGTTCCAAAAAGCGTACCATCTTCCCCTCAAGATAACAACGTCTCAAAAATCGTGTTATCTTATTCTCAATATGATAACGCCTCAAAAAGCGCACCAATTTATCCTCAAGTTAATGACGTTCTAAACAGTGTACCGACTTCTCCTCAAGATAACAACGTTTCAACAACCGTATCGCCTTCCCCTCAAGATAATAACGTTCTAAAAAGCGTATCATTTATTCTTTATAATAATAACGTTCAAGAAAGGCAAGTTTCTGACATGTTGAAAATTAGAAATTTGTTAAATTAGTAAAATATATATAAAAAACAATCACGTTTGTATTATCGTATAGTATAAAAATACTTATTAAAATTATTATTGCTTAAAATATGAAAAAATTTTATTTTATGTAATACATCTTTTAAGTATGAATAAAGAAATATAATAAACAATTATGATTTGTAAATTTATTATATGGTAAAGATTTATTTTTGTTGTTATTTTTCCTGATATGATCTTTCCGTCCGTGATGCAAGCTTTTTATTTAACACCCCGATATACCGATATTCTCGGGATATTAAATGATAAAACTTTATTTCTCACTACATATAAAAGCATATAAATATTATTGAAATAAAGGTCGACCCAACTTGATTGTTTGTTTAACGTACCCACCCCTTCTATTTTTTTTAAAAAATCTAAATTTGATAAACAAATTTAAGTTACGATTTTCTGAAATTTTCCGGATTTTCCCAATATTTCCGAAATTTTTTTTTATATTTATTTTAGGACCCCGAAAAAGTCTCATGATGCCAACAATATTTATGAAAATTAAGAACTTATTTATGTTATTAATGAACTATCTGTTCAATTGAATATTCGAACATTGTCCACAACAAATCCGTATTTTGCGGGCCATATCCGTATAAGACTTCAAGTTTTAAATTCCCTCCATTAATAATAAAAACTCGCGCAGTCAACCCTCCGAAAGTTATATCATACCCGGAGTATTATATTAATGATTGAACAACATATGTCCAAAGTGGATATTATCTACCTAATTGGATTTGGACGTATGAACAATTGTCTGATTAGATGCATTTCTATTGTCAGATTATATATAAATTGGAAATTATTTGGACATATGATAAATCCAACACTAATTGAAAATGATTGAATTTAATAATTTATGCACATCTTGCATAGATTTTCACTACATTTTTGGTACATTTTTTTTACTCGTGGAATTTTTTCATGTCTTGCACAATAGATTTTCAGTACATTTTCGGTACATTTTTTTTCCCGTAACATATCAACCATTTCAACCATTTTGAAAATGGTAGCAAAAAAAAAAAAAATTAATTTATTATTTTGCTCTAAATGGGTCGAGCATTTACAATGAATTATTAAACATTGTGTGACATGTGTGACATTGACATTTCATGATGTCATTAATCTACTGAACTTGGATTCGATTCGATTGGGTGATTGAATTTTTTTTTTTTTTTTGATCTTTTTTTTCATTTTATGTAGTATTAAGGATTCAATTCATGTCTCATGATGATTAATTTAAAACAAATTTGTTTGTGGTATCACTTTAAATTACTTTTTTTAACTAATGGGGAAAATCTGGGAGATGAGTCCGAAAAGCGAATAGAGTATTTCCGTAATTCCTCAATAATTTCGTATAATCCATATGATTCATTTCTAAATGACTATTGACGAAATTTCTTTACCATAAAAAGATAACATATAATCCGAATTGTATAAAGTAGCGACAAATTTCTTCGCTTTGAACAGGTCATGACAAATCGTCCTTTTTGAAATTTCTTCACTTTGTCAAATAGTCCTTTTCGTTAAGCCTCTTCTTTGAAATAAAATGGGAAAAGTTAGATCAAAAAGTATTCGCTTCACTAAAAAAGTATGTACTGTATTTTAAATTTTTTTTTTTTTAAAAATAAAATTATAATTCATTTATTGTTCTTTTTTTAATATTAAAACCTCTCAGGCGGATAGTATTATAATAAATCATATGAAAGAACCTCCAATTTTCTATGCGAAAATTAAAAAAGAGATTCCAGAATATACAACAAAGCAAATCCGTCAACGGTAAGATATCGCATCAATAATTTAATTGACTTTAATTAATTATTTTTTTTTTTTAAAAAAAATCTTTTTATTAAAATTTTAAAATTTTTATAGCTGGACAAATCAGCTCGACCCTAAACGTAAATAATCTATTCATTCTTTTTGTTTTTTGTTTTTTTTTTAAAAAAAAATAATAATTTCGAATTTTTCTTTTTTGATAGTTTGTCATGACCCTCTTGATGAATATGACGAAATTTTAATAATAAAATTGGTCAAAAAAAATCGAAAACCAAATGGTACAATTTGTTGGACAACTTTAATTCCTGAGGTAGAAGCCAAAACCGGTAAAAAACGCAGTGAAAATAAACTAAAAAATTTTTGGTATTCAAGACGAGGGCAGGTTCTCTCTAAAAATTATATATTTCCTCAAGATGATGATGTGTTACTCTCTCAAGATGGTGATGCTTCTGGTGGTGCTCGAGATGACGATAATGTGTTACCATCTCGAGATGATAATGGTGTACTTTCTCGGTTGGATATCTTATGTCAAGAAGCGCTTAAATATGATTTTCTACAATAAGTTATATACCTTAATTTGTATAATAATATTATTTTAATTCTATGTATGTGGGTATAATTATTTAGATTTTATGATTTTATGGAACTATGTTATTTAAGTTAACAGTTAACAGTTAAGCTTTTTTATGGATATTATGGATTTTATGGATTATGGTAATATTTAATAGTTAAGCTTTTTTTTTACATATGATTTTCTTTTAAAATTATGACAATAAACCATTGAATAATTTTTAAGTTTAACCCCGGCTTGCCCGGCTTAATAAAAAATTTTAACAATGCATGTTACCTTTATCAGCCTCAGCTCAGCCTCATCACGTGAGCAATTTGTTCTTAATATATTGTGATATCAAATGTCGTGACATTCTTAAATAAAATGAAAACTTTTTGTTATTATTTTTTAAAAAAAAACTTTAAAGCTATTCTTTTCATTTTTTAAAACGTATGATAAATTTTTTGCAGCGTTTATTTTGGTCATTACTTTTATAAATGTTTCTTTTTTATATTTTTTATTTCAGGATTTTGAGATTTCGTGTGTTTGTTGGGTCTTATTTATTTATTACTAAATATTAATTGTGAATATATTCTTTATGTTTTCCCTTCTGATTTTGGAACATTCACCGTTGCAGTCTACTCGCTTTATAGCGACTTCGTTAAACGGTATACAGATTTTATTAGTCTAAATCTTCGGTATAACGAGATTTTTTCCATATGTTAAAATTGGTACAACACCGGAGGTTCGCTATATTAAAAAATTCGTTAAATCAAAATTCGTTGTAAAGCGAGTGGACTGTACTATATGTATTATAAGTTGCTTTCCGAACTTGACTTGATTTCTGCCATACATTTTTTGTAATGCGGCTAGATTCTGATAAAAGTTTCGTGCAGAATTGTGGGAGCTTTATTATTGAATTTAACCACCACTTTCTTTTTTCTTAATCTTTCGATTAATAATCCGATGTCTTTTATAAAATTTTAAAATTATGCAAAAAACAAAGAGCAAAAACTATCTTAACATTATCATTTCATTTTCGAGTATCATCAATTCAATAATCTTTTGTTTCGATTTACTTTTCGTATGTCTCACGAAACATTTTTTCGTATTTGAGCCAATCATATTTAAGAAATGGGGTACAGTTAAATCATACGATATTACAAAACAATATGTAAAGAAGAAGACTATCCCATAACGATAAAATGACGATGGAAGTTCTATGTATATATATAAATTAAAAATAAATAAAAACACGGTCAATAAAATTTGAAAACGCAAATTTATCGATTTTGCATAAATAGTTGTACTATGTATACATAATTAAAATATCGACTTATCTAATTCTTCAAACTTTTCGAGCAAAGATTGTGTATGTTGTATACAACATTTTTCAGGAAGACTAATAAAATAATGTAAAATTTTGTTATTTTGAAAGATAACAACAATACTTCAGATACGAAACCTTTTTCATAAATTTTTTCCAAAATTATATATATTGGACCGTTAGAGCAAGAATAAAAAGCCATAGAAACTAAAAGTCATACAAGTCATGAAGACTATTACCTCATAGTTTCCTATAGTTTACTACTTTCCCTGATTCCTATTATATATTATATATTGAAACTTTAATTAATAAATACCTTATTTTTGCAAAGTTATTAATAGTAAAACTTCACTTGTTCATACGTTCCTTTATTCATATTTGTAAAATTCTATAAACACTCTATGAAGTAATATATAGCAATCATATTGTACAAATAACAGAGTTTATAGCAGCAACGATATTTTTAAATAAATTTTATTTGACCAATTATTAATTTATTACAAGTAATTTTTAACGTTAGAATTATAAATATTAAATAAAGTAAACTTTTTTGTTCAAGTTCAAAAGTAAAATCTGATTCACTGTACAACATTGATATACACAAATATCTACATAGAATCGAAATTCTTTACTTCTAATTGTCGTTCATTTATTACATATCTTATGTAATAATATTATAGAATAGACAAATTAATCAACTTAATACAAAAAATCAAATTTCAAAAAAGGACAAGACTTAATTGCACAAGAATATTAACATTCAAAAAAGTGAAAAACAATCAAGAACAGTAAAGACTTATTTCATTTTATTATTTATTTTATTTATTTTATTTTTATTTATTTATTTATTTATTTTATTTTATTTTTTTCCTTGTTACAACCTTTTTTACTTACAACTTCTACCAAAAAAAAAACGGTTTTTAACAAAAAAAGATAATGCATTTACTAGTAAAATGAAAATTATAATAAGATATCGACAAAGATAAAATGAAATTTTAAACTGGTTCACTGGTAATATGCCTAGTTCAAAGATAGGAATGTAATGTAAAGAAATATGCGCATACGTTATAAAAGGTTTCTTATATATAAAAAAAAAATCCAATATATGTATTCTTTTTTTCTTTTCTATTTATTATTTCTTCTTTTATTAAAAAAAAAAAGTTTTTGTTTAATTAATATTGTATATTTTGTATATTTCTTACTTTTTTTTCATAACTTTTAATAATCAAAAAATTTTATATTTTTTTAACGAAAAATTATTGGTTAATAAAAAAATGCATAAGAGTAAATTAAATAGGATCGATCCAGCTGTATGCTTTATTTTATTTTTTATTGTTTCGCTAAAAATTGTTAATTTAATAATTCGCCTATTATTATTATATTTTAGAGCGAAAAAATCATTTTAAAATATATGTTAGAAAATGGATCATCATCTTCTAACCCTTTTGCAGAATTGAGTAAATTAATACCATATAGTGCCAAAAAAATTCGTCAACGGTAGATATTTGCGCTTTTTTTTAATTTGTTATTAATTAAAATATTCTCGAATCTCGATAATAATTAAAATTATTTATTAATTTAGTTGGATAAATAATCTTGATCCTCATCGTAAGTTGCCTCTTATATATATATGTTTACTTTGTAAATCTACAAATTTATTTATTTGTTCTTCAATTAGTCATTGTTCATGATCCACTCAATGAATCGGAAAAATCATTCATTATTAAATGGGTTGAAAATAATCAATTATCATCAAATGGTAAAATCCGTTGGAAAGTATTAATTAAAGAAATTAAATATGTATTTGGAAAATTACGTTCGGAGAATCAAGTTAAGAATTATTGGTATTCAAAAAAAAGGAAATCTACAAATAATATTAATAAATCAACAAAAGAAAAAGTTTTTCGTTCTTTAAAATTTAAAAAAAGAAAACAAAAAGAACCACTCTTTAGTGATTATGTATGTTTATAATAATTTATATATATATGTATATATATATAATATTATATAAATTATTTATTTGTATAATTTTTCATTTTTTTTTTTTTTCCTTGTATAGATTGATAAAAATATTACAGTATTTATGAATAAATGGGGTCATCTTTCAAATTGTTATATGAAGATTCATAAAAAGTTTCCTGAATATACTTCAAAACAGATCCGTCAACGGTAAGGTTACTTATTTTATTTTTGATTTCTTAAAAAGAAATAATTTATTTTTAATTTGTTATGATTTAGATGGGTAAGCAAACTCGATCAAAGTCGTAAGTATTTACTCTTTTTTTTAAAAAAACAATGAGCGATAATTTGTTTGATAATTTTAAATTCTTTAAATTCTTTGTTTTTTTTCTTTAGTTTGTCACGAACCTCTTGATAAAGCAGAAGAAATATTTGTCGTCCAATGGATTAAAGATAATCAAACAGCTTATGATAAAATTTACTGGAAGAAATTAATTGCTGCATTGAAAGAACAATTCGGTAAATTACGATCTGAAAATAAATTAAAAAATTATTGGTACTCGAGAAAAGGTCAAGTTCTTTCTAAAAATTGTGTATCATCTGAAGATCGTAATATGTTACTTTCTCAAGATGATGATGATATTCCTCCGAATGCAAGTCGTATGGAAATCTTATGCCATGAGGCGCTTAAATATAATTTTTAATATCCGATATGATCCAACATTTATTAATTATATAGGTCTATTGTTATATATATTATAGTTATTTATTATATAGTTATTTATTATCTTATATAGTTAGTTATTTATTACGACGTAAATCGTTTATGTAAATTTTATATGGTAAATTATATAAATATTGTACAAAAAATTTTTTTTTTTCTGGTTAATGCTCATGAAAAAGATTTTTAAATTTGTAAAAATATTTATTCCAAATTAAATAGTTTTTCTAACTAAAAAAATTTATAAATAATACATTAAAATTATTAAAATTTAACATCTTAATATATAATTAAACATAAATTATGGTACAACTAATATAAATCATCAATAGAGCATTTAGAGATGGATTTCTCATAAAAAAAATATGTATATATATATATATTTAATAAGAAATATTCTATTTAATAAAAACCCTCTATATTTTAAATGAATTGCTTTTGATAGTTGAATAGGTATATGTCTCCTCACCAAACTAGTACTTCTTTCTTCACGTACAGTATAAATAATATCTACCATTTAACCGCCAAGGGATTTACAAGAGTAGTTTCAACGGCATGATATTGAGTACGTAACAATTTTTTAGATTTCTCACTTTCAATACCGTCAAGCCACTCGCTAAAAAAATTAATAAAGAAAAAATATATATATATATATTTAGTTCACCAGTTCAACTAATTCGCTATTCAAATTTCCAAAACCTTTTAGTCACTTGACTTACCTATACAAATTTAAAACGACGTCATTTTTTTCGGGTGAAAGAGAATTAACGTTACGATAAATATCATTCACGTGTAAAATCCAATCTTTTATAGGAATCTTTTCATCTGGTTTTAATTGTCCACCTCCATTTATACAACCAGAAGGGCAAGCCATAACTTCAACGTAATGATATGGTGAATTATTACTCTTAATCTTACGAACAAGATTTTGTATATTTCTAAATCCATACGCTGATGCAAATTTTAATACAGGTTTTCCATCAATCTAAATAAATACAAAGAATATATTAAAATGTGAGAACATGTTTCTATTTTTCTATTTTCTAAATTAAATATCTAACTTTACCTCAAGAGTAATTTCTTTGAAATCTTTGTTACGACCGGCTTTAACTATAACTCCTTGTTCTTTATCAACATCAACACCAGTAATATTAAATATTTCCCGAGCAGTATATTCAAGAATAAATTCTAAATAACCTCCTGATGCACTACCAGAAGATCTTAATAATTCCTCTTCTTGTGAAGTTTTAGTAAAATTATCTAATGAAGATTCTTCACTTGTTTTAATGTCATAATCACTTTCTTCAAACATTTTAACGACTTCTCCTGTCGTTATAACACAATCAACATCTCTTGTCTGATATTCTTCACTAAAAAAATCTGGTCTTGATGCTTCCAATTTTTTATCATAACACATCATAACGCCAACATGATAAATATTATTAGGTTTAATTCCTAATTTATTTGCCAAATAATCCTTTACAACGGATCCCATAATTTGTTGTGGTGATTTAGTTTGACTAACATATGGTAAAATAAATCCATGAGTTTTTTCAGCATAACAAATCCATCCAGGACATGCTGATGCTAACATTGGTAATTTGGCTTCACTCATTGCTTCATCACCACCTCCTGATGTTCCATTACGTTTTATTCTTGTTGATTTTACGTCATTATTTACTGGATCTTTTTTTTGTTGTTTTTCTTGATAAAATCGAAATCTCTCTACGAATTCACGAGCACTTTCTAGTAATGAAAAATCCCGTGAAAATGAAGTATCAAATACATAATGGACTCCAAGTGATTTGAAGAAGTATGTCAACCTTTTCGCTACCTATTTTCGAAAATTTATTTAAAAAAGTTAGAAAAGGTTTAGGAAAATTTAGGAAATTAAAAATTTTAAATTAATTAATTAATCAATTAATTTATTAATTAATTATTATTGTCGTCGTCGTTGTTATTTTTACCTGTAACGGAGTTAAATCATATTTTGCTGCAATAGAAGCAATAGATTGAGGAGCTATTGAAATAACAACAGTTTTCTTTTCATCAAGTTTATTCCCATCAATCGCTTCTTTATTTAATTTTAATACATTGTATAATTCTTCCTGAGATTGCATTGTTATAAGAACACTTTCTGCTGAAGTAATACATCCACTTTGATAAAAATATAAAAATATATATAATAGAATTCGTTTCATGTTAGAATTCATTTCACGTTATAAAGGTGAATAATAAAAAAAATAAATAAATAAATAAATAAATTCGAATTCTATTTATATTCAACGTACCTGCATGCTAAACAATCGTCAAGAGTGATCTGTGCTGTTTGTAATTTAGTTTCAATACCATCAAGAGAAACCTCATAATATCCACCCGAGTCATCAATTTTAATGACATTCTATTTAAACAAAAAAAAAAAATAATAATAAATTAGTTGTGTATTAATTCATAAACTTCACAAGAAAATAATTATCTAAAAAATTTAATACATTTTTGTTGTCTGAAGTTTTATTAACTTCAACAGGCTTAATACAAGCCTGTGAAGGTGCAATATAATCGTTAAGATCTTTTAGTATAACAGACATTCTCTAAATTTTGAAAAACTTGAAAAAAAGAAAAAAAAAAGATACCGAGATGCTGATCAGCTAATGATCATGATTAATAATTGTTTATTATTATTTATTAATCACGTGCCTAAATCAAAAGCCTAAAGCCTTTTTTTAATCGAATGTTCCGGGCAATACTATGTTGTACCATGTTTAGTTACGCCACTTGCATTACTTAAACATGATAGGCGCCGGATCAAAGCGATTCTTAAAATAGTAAATAATCTGCAAAAATGTCTACCTTGCATTTTAAGGAATAAACTTAGTGTTTCCTTTTTTATTGCAAATAATAAATAAAATGGTTACATTTATAGCCATTACTTTCTAATACGGTAACCGACGTTTATACGGATGCGTAATCGTCCATGTATTATACCGGATACGTTTTTTCACCTGAATCTAATTCGCTCACTATATTAATAGTCTGCATCATTTATTATTTTTATCATTATTATTTTGCTTTTTTAACTCACTCCTAACCGCCTACGTAATTTAAATATCGTTTAATATCAAAATAACATCGGTTTAAATATTTTTTAATATTATCATTTACAATATCATATCTTTACGATATTAAAAAATGATATTATTAACGATATTATTTAATATCTTCACCGATATTATATTAATTATAATATAATAATAAATATCAAAATGATATCATTAGGATTAATATAACGATATCGGTTAAATTCTTAAGTTTTATGTAAAACATAACTTTGAATAATTGCTTTTTTTTTTATTTTAATCTGAAAACTTCCCGATATATATATTTTTAATTAAATAATAAATTTTTTTAAATAAAAAATTATTATTACAGATTAGAAGCAAATTAAAAAAGGTTAAGATGTCTAATCATATATAGTATGTTCATGTAATCATGTTATATGTGTATTTTATGTATTTTATCGCCCATCTAACATTCTATAAAACTTAACAGTTAATTGCATGTTTAGCTTGGGGAGCATATATAACAGTCCTTTTTTTACGATATAATAAGTAACTAACAGGTACAATAATTAGTATAGTTGCAATACCACCAGTTGTTCCACCTATTATTGCTGATTTAGTTGGATAGGCTGCTTTTGTAATATTTGGAATAGTTGCAAGTGTTTCAGTTGGGTAGGCTGTTTTTGTAATATTTGGAGTAAAACTTTTAACAAACTTGTAATTATTATCTTCGCTCACATCAATCATATGAATTTGATCATTAAGAACAGCAAGTTGAGAAGTAGCATTAAGGTAAAATCCTAAATAATATAATAATTTGAAGAAAAATTAATTAAACTTAATTTCAAGTAAAAGCAATATTTCATCAATATAACAACATTCATACCAAATGCAATAATCATATAATTTCCAACAATAGTAGCCGTATGTCCACCGTATGGTGCGGATCTAGGTACAGGGTCGATATCATTAAGAATGGACCATGTAAAAGGGCTTACTTTGATGTCTAAAACTGATATTAGATCGACAACAGGGGCTCCCTTATTGTTCGCTCCCCCATAAATGATAATAAGGCCATTTTGTGCTAGAAAATTATTTAACCCATTTTATTAAAAATACTTTATTTAATTAATATATATACTTTTTCAAATTGATATATACTTAAGACCGTTGTGTGATAATTTCTAGGTGATGGTTCAATTCCACTTGTACTCTATGAATAATTGTGTTGTAACAAATTTTGCGCATTAGTAGCAGAGAATAAAAAATTGGCATAAATATCCTTCTCCTTTACAAAATTATTTACCATATTTCCCCATGTTCCATTATTGGTATCATACATATGAATATTCCGAAGCTGTGTTAATATAATAAACATATAGTCAATTAATTACGTATCTAATAATGATAAAAATTAATCAAAAAAGTCGTACATTAACCAATAAATCATGAATGTTTCTTTCTCCGATATAAGCAATTCTTCCATTTGGTAATAAGATCGGCGGACCAAGATAATTCGGTATATTCAAATCAGACGATGCTGAATCCCAGCGGGTAGTATCTATAATAGTCATCGTATATTTATTAACATCATAACTACCATAAATATATATATATGATCCATTGTTATTACAGACGGCTGATGACCATTTAACAATACCACCGAATGTATTCTGAACCCACTCTTTATTATTAATAAATCTATAAGAAAAACTAGAAAAACTTTCTTTAGAAACTCCAAAAATTAGAAAGATTGTATCTTTGTTAGAACCACAAACAGTTGATACCCCATAAAAATGAGGATAAACTTGATGAGCATCGTTACTTAAATCAACTATTGGTAAAGTAGAATCCAAATTAAAAGGCATTGAAACGTCTAAATAAAAAAAATCATTGGCACCACGAATATTATCTTTTGTTATTCCACCCAAAAAATAAATTTTATTGTCCATATAACTTGCGGTATGAGCAAAACGTCCAACAAGTGTATAAGGACTAGTAATAATTAATTGTGAAAAAAAAACAAATAAGAATATAAAATATTGAGGCATTTGATTAAAAATGTCACAAATACATTTAATATGTTTAAAATAACAAATTAAACACGTTCATTTGGTAATACACCACAAGTCCGCAACAGTGATAAATTTATTGCGAGCGATAAAGTATAGACTAATGACGCAAACAATACTAAAAGATTTCGAGAAACCTTAAAATAAGTCACCAATAAAGGAAAAATCAAAATACAATATACGATATAAAGAAAATAGAGAAATAGGTGAAATGGACAAAATGGCGAAACTAAATGTAATAAAAACCTTCGTGTTGTATTACGAATACGAAACAGTAAGTAAATTATTTAGCCTGTGTAAGTTAGGTTTTGTTACACACTTAGCTTCCTTAGTAGAGATAATAATGTCATATTTGGATATGAGCTGCAATCAGGGTGAATCAATGCCCAATGATATGTTTCAAGTCTATTTTTGTATATAAAATGCTGCCTATTCATTCTTGTTAAAATAATATACTGTAAATTTCATATGTTGTTGTTATTTGCATTTAAATTTTAGTTTAAGATCTTTACAAATTTTCATTGCTAAGTTCTTTTATCATGGTTTAAGTCATATTATATGGAGGTAATCCAGTTATTACTTTACTTATACACTATAATTTTAGTATAATTTTGCCCATTTAAAATTACTAAATATAAGGTAAAACATCTAATACAGAAACGAAAACTTTCCACTCTCGCTCTCTTCTTTATCTTCCCTATAGAGATGGAAACGACTCTGTTGGTTCAGCTTCAGTTCTGCGATCCAAACCAAGTCGGAGTGAGCTTAACCGATAGGACCGGTTCCTAACTCCGATTTGAAGCAGACTTTCAAACGACATTTGCGAACGGGTCCATTAATTCTGTTGTGTCACATGACGATACACGAATTTCCAAAAAGTAAATTTCTGATGATCACTAAATCTGGTGACCCTATAAAAATTCTGACAAATGATCACATATCTGAGTTTCTTCAGAATAAAAACTAGAAAAATGATCATTAATCGGAGATTTTTCCAGAATTTTTTTTATAGGGTGAGCTAACTGTTTGCTTGAAGCTGACTCTGCTTTATTGGGTACAGTATATTTGGCGAAATGGGTTTCGGTGAAATGAACTTCCGCGAAAAGTTCGGATACCGCAGAGGTTACAATAGATCCAACAAGAAATCTCTGAATCCAGAAGTTTGTGCATCTCTTTGTCTTATAGTTTTAACCCACTTGTAATTATTTTTTTCGCTCACGTCAATCATATGAATTTGATTATTACAGACTAAATCACGAGTAGTAAGTACGGTAAAATCCTAAATAATATGATAATAATTTGAAGAAAAATTAAATAAACTTAATTCAAGTAAAAGCAGGATTCAATGTAACATTCATACCAAATGCAATAATCATATAATTTCCAACAAGAGTAGCCGTATGTCCATTTAATGGTGCAGTGCTAGGTGCAGAATCGATATTAGGAGTGAACCATGTAAAATGGTTTACTTTGGTGTCTAAAACTGATATTTGATCGGGAACAAGATTCAAATAGATATCGTTTATTCCTCCATAAATAATAATAAAGCCATCTTGTGCTAGAAAATTATTTAACCCATTTATTAAAAATACTTTATTTAATCTAATATATGTATTTTTTAAAATTGATACATACTTAAGACCGCTGTGTGTGAAGTTCTAGGTGATGGTTCAATTTCCACTTGTACTCTATGAATAATTGTGTTGTAACAAATTTTGTGCATTAAGTAGCAGAAAATAAAAAATTGGCATAGATACTACCCTTCTCCTTTACAACATTATTTACTATATATGTCCATGTTCCATCATTGGTATCATATACTGTATTTGAATATTCCGAAACTGTGTTAATATAATAAACATACAGTCAATTAAAATAATTACGTATCTAATAATGATAAAAATAAATCAAAATAGTCGTACATTAACCAAAAAATCATTTATTCTTTCGCCAATATAAGCAATGCTTTCATCTAGTAATAAGATCGCCGAAGCAAGTTAATTCGGTATATTCAAATCAAACGGTGAATTCCAGTGGGTAGTATCTATTGAATTCCAGAGGATAGTATCTACAATAGTCATCTCGCTCACATTTATTAACATATGAGTATCATGATAACGAAGTTTCATGATTTTGAACTTCTGCAGATAATTTATCGTTTTTTCCTTTTTTTTTCTGCCTTAATAATTACAACAAATGTACCGTAACCATTATAGGCTACCATCTTATCTATTATACTAATAAATTACAATACGTTACAATGGTTTGTGAGGTTTATTACCTTATAAATTTCTAATAAATGAGATTTCGCATATTTAGATTATTTTTTTTAAAAGAAGATACAGTAGGTAAGAATTGTCATTTTTATGCCCTATAAAAACGAAATGTGTTGAATTTGTTTTATATTTGTGCTCATGTGTAATAAATGTCTAAAAAAGCACCATTTTATCCGATTTATGTCTTATTACAAGAAAACAAAAATTAAACAAAATGGTGCTTTTTTAGATATTTATTACACATGAGCACGAATTTAAAATAAATTTAACACATTTCGTTTTTATAGGGATGGCTTTTATGGGGTTTAAAAAAAAATTCACGATAATCCCCCCTTTGATTCTTTGATTATCCGAATTACAGTATATATAATCTTGCCATGCCCACCAAAATTTTTTTTTTTACGGAATCGCCATAACAAAACGTAATATCATTAATCTAAAACCAATATGAAACTTCAAAGCTTTTACCTTCTTACTGTCTTTTTCATGGGTTTATTTGTTCTTAAAAGCCAAGGTATAGTTCTTATAATATTCAGTATTTTCTCCATTCTCTTTTCTAATAATTCGACTTTTTTGTTTTATGTATAGCATATACGGCCACAATATCGGAGAATTTGTCTGCTTTTTGCAGAGTTTGGATAGAAGATTCCAATCATTTTCGCATAGCTGGTGATGGAAAAGGACATTACCGTGGTTGTGGTTCAGTTAATTTTAACCACATTGATTTTAACGATCAACAGTACTATATTGTTGTGAAAGTTGAAGGTAGTACGAAGGAAGAAAAAGTCCGAGGTCCTTTCGATAGCAATCATTCCTGTAGTTTATATGGCGAAGTTGATAGTTGGGGATTTGACTGTTAATTGTTTATTAAGTTATTATCCCATCGATATAGTTGAAAGACGTGAATCCATTATATCTATTCTATTCTTATTTATCATATTTATATTATTTCTATTAATTATATTATTAGTCATAATTATATTATTATTAGTCAAATTATTTTTCACAAGTATCTTTCAAAATGTTTTGATTTTTACGTTCAATAATAAGAAAACTTTGAAATAAAAAGATAACTTTTGAAATTCAAAAGCATGCTCGCAATATATTGTGACTTCTACAATTTCATATGATGGCGCACCATGACTTACTGGTAATATTTTTTTTATAAATCTATATACTTTCTGAACCAGCTTTGGTAGTAACCCCACTTCAGGATATCCAAGAAGAAGTAACAAAATTTTCATAACATGGTTCATAATGATGATAATAATTATTAATAAAAAATTTTTAAAAATGATAAAAAAAAATGTCAGACTTTAAAAAGAAATCTTTTTTTTAAAAAAACTCTAATGATAGAAACAGGGAACTGATCGTAACCTCTGAGGTCTGGTATCTCAGGATTTAATTTTTTCACACTTTATCTATGAAAGTCTCTTAATTTTCTGTAGTTAAGATTCGAACATGACACGGTAATACTCTTTCCATGGTGTAAAATGTAACGACTGTAACGTGATTACATGACTTTAATCACGTGTTAAATATTGCGAAACCTTCGTTATAAAGAATCGCCAACTGTTAACGTTTTTACAATCTATGATCATGTCCTAATTTATATAAAGCAAATCTTAAACTTGTATTATTCGTAATATTAGATGTTCAACTTTTTTGTTGTTTTAAAAGAATCTTTATAAGATCAACGAGTTGTATTATTAGATCGTAAAATTATGTTTGTTTCTACAGTACATTAAAAAGGTTACGAAAAAAGTAATTGTAGTGTTTTAATAACGATAATTGCCACAAAATAATACTAAATGATTACTGTATAATCATATAATATTTCAACAATAAGAAAACTTTTTTTCGAAATAAAAGTGTACAGTCAAACCTTTATATAACGATATGTCGGGACATATATGAAATATCAAAGTTATACCGATATTTATATGTCCTCACATATAGTGGGAAAATAAAATTTTATCGGTATATCAAGTTTTTAATAGTATATCGGTATATCGAATATCGGTATATTGAGGTTAGACTGTAGTTGTTTTATTTATATTCAATAAATTTTTTATTACTTTAACCATAATTACATATAAAAAGAATAAATCCTTGGATCTTCAGAGATACTAAGGTAAAGAATAAAATTGTGATACATCTTGAACCCATTCAAATTCTTCAAATTTATCATACCAATTAAGATCAAATTTTTTAATTATTCCTTTCATTTCATATTTTTTAATTAGTGATTTCAATCGTTTCATATACCATTGATGTTCATCTATAAAATTAACTAGGGAGATTTGTAATAGCATAGGTTGTCTATCATTCCATTTATTAAGAAATGATTCTAATAATTTAAAATTTAGTCTAAATTTTTGTGTAAAAATAAATTTAAATTTAGACAAATTTAATGGTGATGATCTAGTTAATATTTCAAATACATCCTTATAATCAAAGCCTCTTTCATAATCAATAACTAATCCATCTAAATATTGAGAATTAGCTAACAATCTTTCAAATTCAGTAAGAGTATAATCTTTAATTGGTAGCTTAATATACCTAAGATTTGGACAATTTTGATATATTGTTTGTGTAAGTCTTCTAATTTCATCAATTTCTTTTAACGAATCATGACTAATACCAATTGTAGTAAGTTGTACGTTTGCGGTTTCAATTAATCTTATCAAGATTTTATGTGACGATAAATTAGCTTTTAAGATTTTTAAAGCAGGTAATGATATTTCCTCTAATTGATTCAAATTTGGGTTTGCATAGTTTTTAGATCGTCGAAACAAGAAAGGTGTATCCATATCTAGAATTTTTAAATTTACTAAATGTGAAAGAACTTCTGTAACAGGTTCCCAGTCTAAACGTAAATGTTGGATGGTATCTGCTTTTTTAATAAGTAATTCCTCAATAGTTTTCAATGCTTCATCATTATCACAAGACATATGGATTTCATTTAAGTTTTTCTGAGCTTCAATTAATTTAACAATTCTAGAAATATCATTATTATCCCTTGAAATACAACAAAAGAGTTTTTTAATTGATTTGCTTATTGTAGCTAATCCTTCCAAACTGTTTTGATGAAATTCATGACAACATAAATTTTTAAGATCTGAAAAGCATTGTTCATTCCATGAAATACAATATATATCATAATTAATATTTTCTGGGATAAGAAGTGAAATAAACTTTGTATATTTATTGATAAATAAATTTAATAATTCGTTTTTTATCATAGAACTGGTTGATACTTCTAAAATTTTTAAATTTCTGGAAAATGTTTCTTCCAAAAATTGTAAATCTAAATGTCTCCAGAAATTAATATAATTAAATGAAGTTGGTCGATAAGTTTCTGTATAAAGATTGATCCCTTGATTTTTCAAAATATCTTTTGAGTCTTTTGATAAATGTAAAAGTATTACATTAAATAATTTATCCTCTGCTTTTTCAGTTAAAACCATTCGTCCAGGAATTTTCCATAATATTGGCACAGTTACCTCACACCAAAATTTGTTAACCAAAAGACATGAACAAAGCGATATCATGTCATCTTGCAAATTTTCTGCTATTAAGAAAAGTACGTCTTTGTTAAGCTTCAACATTGACAAGAGTAAACCCTGCAAAAATTTTACTCGGAATTCCTGTAAAAAACTCCGTAAATATGATATAAATTTTTTATAGGGAGGGAAAAAATTTTTTACGAATAACAAGTATTATTAATAATACTACTATATTTAGCTAATCAATTTGTCATATGTCCTCATAATAATGCATAGTGAAAATATGTGTTTAATAAAGATTGGTCCACATCAATACCATATAACCGAATATTCCCGTTATCTCGTAAATAATTCCGTGTATCTAATTTTTTTCATTCTTTGAAGCTGTAAATTCACATGGAATGTAACAATTAATAAATGTTGTAATTGTTCGGTCGATTAGGAATATGCGCGATATAATTTATTATACTTTTTATAGTTTAATGTTTTTTCCTGAGGTACATGAGTCATGAGTACAGTAAAAATCTACAGCATGTGATATATGGTCAATCAAGTCATGTGATTTATAACAGTATAATCCTCGCCAAAATTTGTAATTCTGACAATCTGGCCTAAATTATATGTATTTTTTTCTTCCATTATTCTGAAAACTGGTGAGTTTTTATGTTAAACGAAAAATTGAGTTGGTAACCAATTTATTTATTTTCATGGAAAAATTAAATGTTATTTGTAAAATGACACCTTAAATAAAGGAATATATAATGAAAAAAATAATTTGTTACTTTCTATAGCATGTGGTTCAATAGGAAGGAATTTTACAGTAGCAGAAGAATTGCAAATTTAATGTCCAAGGAGTAAGAACATAAGTTCCATAGAACCAAGTCTTCGATCAACAATACAGTATGCTCTCTTAGTAAGTTGGACTGTGTACATCTATCTCTCTCTATTATTTTTGATGGAGATGGCGTATTAAATCATGTGACTGGAATCCATAGCCAATCAAAATATCGCAAAAAGTCACGTTTCGTATCGCACATGCAACAAAGATATGCCGATTTACGAGCAGCTTTCGTGGCGATTTCAGTTACTTCCTGGCTAAATCCTTCAAATATTTACCTACCGGCAGTAGTTGTATCACTGTGTTGCTCATTATAATTACCGACTCTTTTTTCAACTGAAAGCGAGAAATGGAACAGAACAGTTCCCCTACAAAAATGAAATATGCTAAATTCGTTTTATATTTGTGTTCGTGTGTAAAAAGCGTCCAAAAAAGCACCATTTTGCCTGATTTATGTCTTATTACAAAAAAAACAAAAATTAAACATTTGCACAAATATAAAACAAATTTAACACATTTCGTTTTTATAGGGTTCACAAATGCTAATCCAGTGCTTCATGTTGTTCTAGGGCCAGCCTATGCAAAGAATTTCAATGTTAACACTTTTCATTAAATAAATAATAATCTGTTAAAATCAAAATAAATTAATAAACTATATATATATACGTGCAATAATATTTGCAAAATAATTTTTTTTATTTACAAGTGAAAGAGACTAAAGTTTTCATTCGACTTTATTTTCAATTAGATATTATCAACGCAAATACATTTAAAATTTCTAACGTTTCTTGAAATAATACTACAATAAATACATCTAAGTTTTAAAAAAAAAGATTTCTAGAAAATTTAATGTGGGTTAGGGTATCGGCATTCTTTGTATTTGAAACCAAAGCCAAAGTTCATTGTAGGATAATTATGGCGCACGAAATATTGTTTACGACTGTTATTTACCTTTTGAGTTTTTTCCTTTTTTTTTTGTTATACAAAAATTAGGACACCAAACAATCAATAGATAATTATCTCAGCAGGTAGTTATTTTAACAATTGAATAATTTATTTGTTATAAATAATTATCTATCTTAAAATGTAACAATACAATATTCATTGTTGTTACTTGTTAATTTAACTAATTGTTAGTTTTGTGTTACAAATAAAATAAAGTGGAAAAAGTCATATTTCCATGCACGACAGTATATCATTGTTTTTTCTTTGTAATAAGCAAGCGCATGTGATTGATTGAATTTGGGCTGAATTTTAATTAAATTTTTCTTGGATATTTGACCAAATTTCAAACATTCATTCTAAGTAGTACTTCGAAGAATATAGTTGCTACATTACAATATTAGTTGGATTGGATTAACTTTATTTATGTTTTTTCTATTTATTATTTTCTTTTCGCCTGATGATTATTTTACTCTAAAATAAGTAATGCATAAGAGTTAAAAATTTTTTTTTTTTTATTATTGTTTTTTTTTCCCAAATAAGTAATATTATAAATGTCGGATTTGTAAACCGGAGTAAGATTCCCGATCATGCAATGTTGATCATTACTAATTATTATGTGGGCTTTGTTAAAAATGCCAATAAGAGGCTGTGCAAGTACAAACATGCAATATAGCCAATCATTAGCACAAACAGATATGCATGATAATTCTAATGGATATCAGAGGAACTGGAAATATATTTTCTAGAACATTTTAGAACATTTTAAAAATTAAGAGAAATTTCGAATTATATATAGCGAATCCTAAACCTGAATAAGAACAACTTGTTTTTTTACTTGAATAAAGGGTCCTTTTTTAGAATAGGAAAAAATGGATTTATATTGACTTTACCAAAAAGCTTTGTAATAGGAAATAAAGAAACGGTCAAATTTGGTTAAAATAATGATTACTAATATTAGATATACATATATATATGTATATCATAAATATAAAATAAAAATAGAAATTCTTTAATGAGATTACGAAATTCTTTGATGAAAATTCTTTAATGGGAATTCTTTAATGAGAATTCTTCTTTTAAAGAAAAAGGCAAAATTTAAGTTTGGAAATTGAAAAAAAACAAATGCAGGATTTTTTAATAAAATAAGATTATTGTTTCTAATTTTATAAGCGGTTATCATTATATGCCGATTATTATTGGTTCTTTTTTTTTCAAAACATTTTTTATTATTAAAATTCTAAAAATATTAAAAAAATTTTCTAACAATCAAATAAAGGTTAAAAATTATTTTTTTTTAAAGTCATCCACGGAAGTAATATTCCTTTGTATTAAAAAAAGAAAACCTATGATTAAAAAACAGAATAAATAAAGTAATTATAATATAAATTTAAATATAAATTGAAATCCTCTCTTACTTTCTTATTCTCATAAAAAAGAAAATTATTAAAATAAAATTCTTAGTATTTTATATTATATAATTATAATTCATTTAATTAATTTGAAACATCGTTTTCTGTTTATATCAAACTATTTATTTAGAAAGAAAAATAAATTAAAGGGGATAACAAAAAATGGAAAAATGGCAAAAAAAGGCGTTGAAAGAAAAGATAAAGAGAAAAAGTAATAAAATATTTAAAACGATAGACGAAAATGTACGTAAATTTTTAATTAATCCATATAAAAAAATGACTTATAATTTATTTAATATTATTTAATTTATTAGAATAAGAAAATTATATTAGATTATATGGAAGAATGGAAAAAAAGGGGAAAGATTCCTAAAAATCCCTTTGTAGAATTGTCTAAAAAATTAAAAAACCGGTATAATTCAAAAGCAATCTGTGATTAGTAAGTTAACGATCCATTTTATTAATACCAATGCTTTTTTTTATACAACAAAGTAACTTATATATTAAAATATACATTTCGTTATTATTAAATATACATTAAATATATACATTAAATATATAGTTATTGGAATATACTTGATCCTCGACGTATGCATTAAAAAATTCCATTGTTTCTCTTCCTTTTTTTTACAAATAATAAAATGATATCTTTTATTCACTCTTGTTTGTCCTTTTAGTTAATCATGAACCTTTCTCTCAGGAAGAGAAAGAATATATTTACAAATGGGGCGAAAAATATCAAGAAACTAATGATGGTAATATTCAATGGAGATTTTTACAGCCTAAAATGGAAGCGGAATTTGGAAAATTTTGGTCTCGAAATAGTCTCAAAAATATTTGGAATACCAGAAAAAAACAGGTTATTAAAGACAAAGCGCAAATCAATATTTCTGAAGAAGTTGATAAAGAAAATAAGGATGATTATAAAATATGTAAAAGTGAAAATGAAGACGAAATAGAATTTGATGAATGTGAAGATAAAAATGAAGCCAAGCCTTTTACCAAGCATTCAATTCAATTTCTATTAAATGATAATATGATTTGAAAATTTGTAAATCTATTCAATTTAATAACTTCATTATCCATTATTTATTTTTATTTAACCGTCACTCTATACGTTTGTATTTATTTATTACATACTAAAATAATAAAAATAACTGTATAACATAAACATACATAAACATAGCTAATTGTAGTTAGTATAAGGAAATGTTCATCCGATATTGTGCTTTAATCATAATAGTATAACATTCAATGTGAATGAAGATCAGCTAAACAATTACGGATTTTAAATTCCGTCACACGTTTTGTGATACGCATTTTTTAACGTCAAGGCGTTAAATAGGGAAACAAAAAAACACTGTAATCTTGACAATAATGAATGAAATTTGCCCTATTTTTAATTTTCATGTAACACGCAGCTCCAAAAAACGGTAGGTGTTCGTTTGAAAAAAAAAGATATATATATAACTTTAGTAGAAGTTTAGCTACCCATTATTTTTTATTTCTCGATTAATATTTCTTAAAAAAAAAAAAAAAATGAAAATAAAAGGCCATCGATTCACCAAAGAAGTATGTTGTAATTAAAATAATTATTTTAATTATTCTTATTACTTAAAAAATAAATTCTTTTCTTTTTAGATTGATAATATTATTAGCGAACATATGAAAAATTTGGGCCATCTTCCAAATCCCTATATGAAAATTCATGAAAAGATTCCAAAATATAGTTCAAAGCAAATTCGTTATCGGTAAGATAATTATTATAATAATTGTTTTTTTCTTTTTCTTAAAAAGATAATGAGATTCATTTGAATTTTATTATAATTTTAGTTGGATAAGTAAACTCAATCCATATCGTAAGTAAAAAATGTTAAAATTCTCTTTTTCTTTATTATAATTTGAAATTTATTGTAATTTAATTTAAAATTTTTTTCTAGTTTGTACAATGCCTCTTGAAGATAACGAAAAATTGTTCATCGTTCAATGGGTTGAAAATAATCGAACTTCAGACGGTATAATTCATTGGAAAGACTTAATTAAAGAAGTTGAAAGTAAATTTGGAAAATTACGTTCTGAAAATACTCTTAAAAATTTTTGGCACTTAAGAAGAAGAAGTCTTTCAAAACAATTTAAGGAAGTTAATTATGATGAACCTAATATTACTTTTGAATACGAAAATTTAATAAAAGATGACAATTTGTCACTTTTTAAAAATAAAGACGAAGAAAATATTTCTCCACTTCCTTCTGATGCAAGTCGAATAGAAATCTTATGTTGGGTGGCTAGTGAACAACATAAACGTGATTTCCCATATAGTAAATATTTTAAGTAGTTAACCCCAGAGGTTTCATGTTATATAGTTATATATATATATATAGATAGACAAACAAATGTTATAAATATTATAGAATTACATTTTTTAAATAAATTCAATATCAATATTATTAACTGTTTATTTTGCACAATAAATTATTACATAAAAAGGCGTTTGCCATATACTAATGATAAAAGAAATATGAATGTAAAATACTGCGAAGTGTAACCTCGGTATCCGCCGAGGGGTGGTATTTGTCGAAACCATTTTGCCGAAGATATTTTACCAAAGAGATATTACTGAATGGACATTTTTCTGAAAGTCCGTTTCCATGAGAACATGTCTTTTGCCGCCGTAACCTTTACCGAATCCCATGCGGAAGTTTCGTCGAAAATGGTAATTTTCAAAAATATTTCTGATTATATTTCTGATTTAAATTTAAAAATTTTTTTTTTTTAATGTAATAATGGATCAGCTTCGCTTACCATTTCCCAAATCGTTAATTCCAGTGACATCATAATTGACGAAAATCATTTATTTGTATATATTTTATACACTTTATCGAAATTTTAAAATAATGTTTTTCAGAGTTTTTTACTTTTCTATGAATAAAAGCAAGGCACAATGACGCATAAATTTATTGAAAAAGGAAAACAATAAAATAAGAAATTATGTATTGCCGTTTTTACCGTTTTCAAAATGGTTGAAATTGATGTCGATCATGTATTTTAAAGGTGATATGCAATGTAACAGAATCATACTGTAGAACATACTGTACTAAAACCTAAAAATCAAATGTTTGACAAATCACATGATATGATTTTACCATTATGAATATAGACTATAATTACAATGAGCATGCGAGCACGCCATTTTTTGTGTTACAGCTATTTGCAAAAAAAAAACCACCTAATACGATTTTCGACTGCGTATGAATTTTCATACGCAGCCATACGCAGTCATACACGCATAGTAAACTGCTAGAATTATGTGATATAACTGCGGATGACTGCATATGAAAAATTCAAAAAATGAGTTTGCAGATATTACCATGCGTATGACTGCGTATGAAAATTTCATACGCAGTCGAAAAATGAATTAGGTGGTCCGTTATTTTCGCAAATAGCTGTAAAGACAGAATAGTTATCAAAGACCGGTTATACATTTTTTATTGAAAGAATAATATGTGGATATTTTGAAATATGTGTGTTTATTTTATTTTTATTCGAAGAATATATTTTTATTAAATAATTTATAATTTACTAACAAATAATTACAATAATGATTATAATGAATAAAATAAGCAAATGAATATTTAAATAAGTATGTCAAATAAATCCTTTTATTTTAACCATCGTTATAAATGGTACTAAAGGAATTGAAAATTGATTGAATGCCTTTATCCTCAATTACGTTTTCAACGTTGATTGTACCATATTTAAGTTCATCTCCATTATCAAAGTTTTCCAGAGCACTGTTTTTAACCTCAAGTTGTCTTTTCTTAGCGTTCCAAATGTTTTTGAGGTCATTTCGTGAACGAAATTTCCCAAGGTTTGATATTTCAGATTGTAAGTTCGTCCATGGAATAATACCATCGTTCATTTCTTTATACCTTCCAATCCATTCATAAATATAATTTTTTTCTTCCTGAGAAAAAGGTGAATGGTCAACTAAACAAATAGAATAAAAAAAGGTCAATTTGGTTTAAATTTGGATACAGACAAAAATTTTAAAAACTTACTACGTGGGTCAAGTATATTCCACCAACTAAATTTTATAATATAAAAAGTAAGTTATAAATTTTTTTTTTAAAACAAAAGCATAAATATATATAATATATATTCAACGAAGATGACTTACTAATCACAGATTGCTTTCGGTGCAAAATTAAACCGAACTTTCAATTTTTTAGATAAGTCTGCAAAAGGTGTTTTGGAAACTTTTCCACGTTTTTCCCATTCATTCATATGCTCTATTATCGTTTTTTTACCCTAAAAAAAAAAAAAATGATTGATAAAAGATACTAATATATAAGTTTTATTTTATATCAATAATAAAAAACATTTGTAAGAATAAAGTTTAATACATACAGCTATATCTATTGTTTTATCAATTTTGTTAATTTTCCTCGTTTTCTTAATGACTTTTCCCATGTTGTACTATTAAAGAAAATTTTAATTTTTATTCGAACAATATTTAAGAAATTTATTTTTTTTTATGTTATTTTTTTAAGGATTAATAAAAGACATATTTTATCTATTTATACTTAATTAATCATTATAATAAAATAATTGTTAAATTAATAATAAATAATATATTACTATTTTGGTTTTAAAAAAGAACTTAAACTTATTGTAACTTTTGTTTTTAAAAAATAACAAAAGAATATAAATAAATTAAAGAAAAGTAAAATAAAAATAGAAATTCTTGAAAGAATTCTTCAATTCCAAGGTATATCAATATGCAACGTTACAATTGATGAATGGTTTGTTCAACTGGGACGAACACTCCGAACAATCAAATAAGGAAGTTATATGCTACACAATGTAGATCATTGGGCAGTTTTCTTGGTCATTGTTTGGCAGTTAGCACAATAAAAATATTGTTACAATGACATTTGAAAAAAAATAAATTTTAAATAACCGCAATTCATTATATTTCAATAACTGTAATTTGGTTTTAACTGAAGTTTTCATCGCAATACTTTTTTCTAATCCATATAATTTGTTCATTATTCTTATTATTCATATATTATTCATATATTATACGTATATTATTCGTATATGATTCATAAATTATTCATATATTATTCATAAAAATGTCACAAAGACCACTTATCACTTCACAGATTGACAATACTATTAAAGAGCTTGTAAAAGACTTAGATAATCATCCCAACCTTTGTGAGAATATTAGCGAAAAAATTAATAAACAATATGCTACAAATTTTACTTTAAAACAAATCCGTCAATAGTAAGATATATCATTATTTATCAATTAATTAATTAATCAATTAATCAATTATTTTATATATTATTTTATGGGTTTTGTTTTTTATCGCACCCGCGATATGTCGCAAGGGCATGCGCCTCCTAATTTTATTGGCGAAAAATTTTTTTGTGGCGCGTCAAATTTCAATTGTAACACGATCTTAAAAAATTTTTTTTTAAAAAATTCTTCGATCTGTTTTGGTTTCTTTGTCCCTACCCTTTAATAAAAACAAACCTTTACATTTCTTTTCTAATTACGTTTTCATTAAAAACATTGTTTATCATGTTTATATTCGATGGTTGGTTTCTTTTTTCTTCTTTTTTGTCTTGTTTTGAAAACTACACTAAAGGTTTTTTTTTCTTTTTTCAGGTCCTTTGCGTTGTGGATTTTGACGTTAATATCATTTGAAAAGAGACTTTTCGTTCTTTAAAGACTCGGTAGGTGAAGTTTAATACACCGTGTTTAATAACCTTAAAAACACTATTAACGATTTTTTTTTTTACTTTAGATTCTTTCACTTTAGATTCTTTTCACAACGGAAGTTTAATGTCAATTTCGTTACTCTTCCTTCTTCTCATTTGGAAAAAATATTGGTAAGTGTCGGTTATATAGACTATGAACTAATTTAAACGGCCTCTTCAAAGTTTTTGTATATGTATTAACCTCTTGTAAAC